CTCTGCTTGTGCCAAATATCAACTACAAATTCTAAAATCACAACCTCACAAACTCATTAAAGAATTAGAACAAACTCTAGAATGTCCTAGTACTGATACTTATAAAAGTTGTGATGGAATTGCCCTTGGTCAAATAATTATGAATTTCATATTGTTCTACTAAATACCAAACATCCCTATCATTGTCCCACGCTTCAAGACAAAGTCCTATTTTAAAATTTCAGAAATTATTTACATTTTATTTGAATTCCATAGCAGTTTTAACCAAAATTTTCCTCAAAATTAACAATTTACACCCAACTGTATATAATCAAAGTCAGCAGTGATGCAGAAAACTATCAGCAATTTTAAATGTAAATAAGCATGGCATAGATGTTATTTGAAACCGTTCAATTTTAGATGATCAAATCTAATTCAGTAGAAGCTTCTATATCACATACATCATATTTTAGCAAAGCAGGAAGGCCATATGACTCTACATTAAAAAAATCCATAATTCACTATTGTTGAATGAAAAAAATCAAAATTATTGATTAACTAATTTACCGTTAACCATATCCAAAAATTTACCAGGAATTAGGGTCTACTTCTGCTTCTCCCCCTGTTGATATAATAGAATTATCATTTTGAAAACAATTTGGAATCTATGTCACTGTTATATAATAATTTGCTGAAAAACCAAAATATCATAAGATGTTCCACCATTTCTCCAAATCTTCCATCTAGTATTCAAACTAGACTGAGATGATGTAAATTTCAAAGTTCCATCTGTAATATCTTATCTTTATAACATCCCCCTGTGTTTTCTTATTTCCAAAAGAAAAACAATTTAGAGGTGGAAAAACAAAAATGGAAGAACTTTCCCCCATTATGCTAAAATTTCAACATGTCCAATCAGTTACCCATAAGAAATATAAACCAAGTTTATTTAGTTAGAATTTAGGTTAGTGTGTTAGTGTTGGTAGTCAAAGTGGATAACACAGTTTCCTAATAACTACATCTATCTGCTTTAAGCCAAGGCTGAATTCTCGTTTCATATTAATTTCACTGCACAAGCAGATGATTCAGCTTCAACCAGATTGTGACACCAAAATATGTAATCGTCTTTACCTTAAAATTGTCCGTAAAGCAGTAATAAAAACATATTTATGAAACAAAACCTTTACTGTCCCTAAATAGTTTAAAATAAGAAAAATATCACACAGCTACACACTAAAGTGAGGTCATATTTACACAGAGCATCCTAAAACCCATCAAAGGCCATCTGCCTACACATTCACTCTCATTCACACTCAAGCAGACTCATCAACACCCCATTGTAAGAAAGATGCAGGATGTTACCCCAGATTTCAAACCAAAATTCGTCCTGTGAAAGTCTTAAACACAATCATTATAACACCATGGTTGAAAAAAAATAAAAAGACATTATTATCCAACAGTTCTAATATTTTTCAGTTTTGAGTGAACCCTTTTTTTTTTTAAAACTCCATATTATACACACAACCGTATTTCATGATAGCCCACTGTTATTAAATGGCTACCTAGACCCCCTGTAGGAAAACCCAAAAACCGTTCATGTGGTCATGTAAAATGCAAAATGGGCTGCACACGAAGATCGTCCTACAAGAAACAAAGTCATTCATTAGTGTTTCAACATGTCCTACATTAACAGTGTAGAAAACACTGTCAAGCAGAAAAACATCCATATGTTCTCATTTTTGTTCTCTTGTTACAATCAGTGAGGGTGTTCCATCCTGTCAGGAAACCTAGAAATTTAAGTGATTGTCAATGTTACAGTATTATAAAAAACAATTGGATCATTCCAGTGCTCCAGCCTGGAACTGATGCAACACATTTCACCCGCTGAGAAAGTAAAAACATCTGTAAATCTGTTATTTTATACTTTTCATTTCAACACAAAACACAGTTCTAAAAGTAATTCACATCAAAATCCAAGAATCCTGAAAAAGTGAGCTGGACATCAGTGCTAACAGAACTGAAGCACTCCCAAAATGCAAATGGGGGGGTCAATCAGTCCCCCTGCTGTGAAACAAAACTTGCATCCAAAACGGAGACACCTCTGTCCCACAGAAGCACATTTTAACAGAAAGTTAGTAATACAACATCCAGCAAAAATATTTAACAATATTTCATAACACAATCTTGAAACACAAATCACTTCCGCACAATCTCAGCACAATTCAGACACAGACAGACGAATAGACAGCAGCGCGTGGTGGAACATACAGTACTGTATAACGGGGGGAGACAGACACACAGCAATAGACCAACCCGCAGCCAAGCACGCACACAAACACAAAGAAACATACAAAACACAGACACAGACAACGTTGTAGTTCAGTCAAGAAAAGACAGAAAAGAAAAGAAAATGTCAGGTGCCGGCTAAAAGAATGTATGACGCATCTTTTAATTTTCCAATTTCACTTTTACAAATCCCTTTTATTCTCATTTCAACTTCTCAGTCCTTCAAGGTGATCCAACCTGCTCTCAGTCCTTTAAGGTGATTCAACCTGCTAAATTTAGTATTCTCAGTCCTTTATGCTCTTTAGCAACTCGCTTCAGAGTCCCAGAGAAGGCGATACATCTTGTAACAGACTGCTACTTACGGCGACTCTCAGCCCTTTTCTTTCAACGAGTGATACAACTCGGTCCAATTAACCTGCTATTAGTCCTTTTCCATGAGTGATACAACTCGATCCAATTAACCCAAATAATTATAAGTCCACTGGAGATGAGTCGAAATCTCCGGGCTGATACAAGCCCCTGCTAATTAATACACAGACACCCGAAATTCTTTTTTAGAGGCACAGGCATTGTTCCTCAGGGCTAAAGAATAAATTAATCTTTATTAATTAATCAATTAATTAATCAATCAATCAATAAAACCTTCTTTTAAAAAACCCAGCTTAAGTCAGAGTTAACGTAAAGGCTCTGTTTGAACTAGCCACAGTTCCCTGTAATGTGTATTTATTCAAATCCTTAAACAACCGACTCTTTTAGGAGGGATTCTATCTACCTCTGCAGCTTCTGAGTTCTGTGAGGCCGCACACAGCAAATCAGCCCCGGTCCGACCACACGGCGCTTCAGACAACTGAAAAATAAAAAATAATCAAATACTGTCTTACCACACCGAAGTCGGGCCGAAACGGATCAATCAGGACCAAACAGCCGCCCGCCGAGATTCCAGAACCGGCACGAGCCCCCAATTGTAAAGGAAGAAAATATTCTAACATAGTTAACTTTGGAAAAAGGTTGGCTTTTCATTCTTCCCTTCCCCAGGTCCACTCGGCGAGCTGCGTTTGGTAATAAAAACCAACATTGCATGTTGACGTCACAGAATTACAGAGTTTAATCCAATATAAGACAATGGATACACTTAGAAATAAGACAATGCACAAACCTACACCAGAAACTGCAGAACAACAGAGACATACATTCCATTACCTGACATAGGAGGAAAGAAAGCAAAGACGTACAAGACATCTTTGGAGAGTTTGCAAGAGCAAAATCTGATCTGTAACCTCTATTTAGAAAGCTTTATCCTCTTGTATCTAATCCATTCAAAAAAGGCTGGCCCTCGGTCCTCCAACCAGGAGCCATCTCTGACACCGCCCAGAGCTTCACCCAATTTACTGCAAACATCTGGGGTCATTTGCTTCTTTGTTTTAACAAGAAAAGGCGGAAAGCTTGTCCTGGCATCTAGAATTCTTAAAGTCATAAAACACAAGATAAGCTTCCACAGACAGCTTGTGGAATGCGGGGGCCTCACCATAAATTCTCAGGAACAAACTTAAATTTAGTAATCTGGTTCAAGGAAAGGTTATCTTCACAAACTTGTTCAAAATTAAGAAATATGTTCACAAGGAGAGTATACAACATACCTTTTACACATGTCATAAGATTAACTGTATTAAAGACTGAAAATAATCATTTTTCTTTAACACCAGCCAACCTGCTCTTGACTGAACCCTGGAACTCAGGGAGAGTTCCATTCCTGAAATCTGCCTACCGCCTCTCAGGAGCTATGGAGGAGCTCATCTTCTGAAACCTGCCTACCTGCCCTTGGAAGCCAAACCAGAAGATCTGCAGTCTGAATCTGCCTGCCTGTTCTCAAGGAGAGAACTAAGAGCAACTCAAGGACTGAATCTCAACTAGTCAGCAGCCTAGCCCTGCCGCTGCCTAGCTCTCTGCTCATCTCTCAGTCTCTGGACTCTTCTGGTTTCCTCTCTCTCCACCGCTCAGCCTGAATCACAGATTAAGAGAATCCTGTATGACCAGCCCTGGACCAGAATACATCCTGACCTGCTTTGTTCTACCATAAATAAATAATTGAACTTTTTCCCTGCCTCCTGAGTGTGTTCTGCATATGGGCTAGAATCTTCACCCATCATGACACTCAGTGTGTTTCCACTATGTACTGCACTGTATTTAACCAAAATTCCAGATTTTGAAATTCCCCCCCGGAAATTTTTTTAGCTATGAAATGTAGGACATGTTCGGGAAAAAGAGGATGTCTGGTCACCCTATGATTTTAGACCTTTTTTTTTTTTTTTAAACAGATGATAATGCATATGGATCTTTACACCAATTAAAGCCAGAACAATTTTGGTGATATAGTTTGACATTTCTCTGAATAAAAAAAACAAACAAAAAACAACAACAATAAAAAAAACAAACAAAAAAAAAACAGGAAAATAATGAGGACATGACCTTGGTGTTCTCAATGCTGGTTACTGGGCTGGTCACGCTTATCCAAAGCTGTCATGATCGGTTTAACAAATCTGACCCACATGCAGAGAAACCACTCAGAGAGCACGGAAAAGGTTTGACAGGTTTATTGAAGGAATTTAACAGGAGTTGGATCTGGAACTCAGTGAGCTGGTGACCCGGAACTAGAAGTGAGAAGGGAAGTTCAGTGGTCAGTTCAGGTACCGTGGGAATCTTGGAAGCTCTGAGATTTTGCAAGGTTGGGAACTCACGTTTGAGGGGGGCCTTGTTAGTCCTTGAATCCAGACTGTGTGGTAAATCCAGAGAAAGGTGCACACGTTGGAGGGCGGACAGGTTGACAAGCTTTGGACCCAGAGGAGAAATGGAGCGGACTGTAACTCAGATTTCAGATGGGTACTTGAACGGAACATATGGAGGTTTCCCCCTGCTCAGTGTAACTCATTTTTTTCCTTCCAGGGGAGAGAAAGTCCAGGAATCCAGTAAGGCGAAAGCTTCCTGCCGGGGAGCAAAGACAAAAACTCGTTAGACTCAGAGAAACAAAGCTAGGTTAGATTCAGCTAAACTCAGCTTGGCTAGAGTTCCCAAAACTGGCATACACTCTGGTGTAGAGGTAGTGACAGACCACAGCTCAAATACTCCTCCAGATAATGATCCAATGAGCTGCAGGTGTTCAGGGAGGAACAGCGAAGACAGGGCACTTCCTGGTGGTGGAAAAAGAAAGACAAACAAACAGGCCACATAAACTGGATTCCTAACACAGGCGGGGTCCCAAATGGTGCTGGTACATATCTCCGGCTGTCCACAGGCAAGAGGTGGGCGTACACCCTCGACATATTTTAAATGGATATAAAATAAAATAAAAATAGTTTAACGCTCTCAAAAAAAAAAAAAAAAAAAAGTGAAACTGTAGATTGAATTTCATAGAAATGTTTTCTAAATTAAAAATGTAAATACAAATATGTCATTTGTTTCTTTTCAAAATACATCAATATGGAAATAGAAAATAAACAAAAAGTCAGAAAAACAGATAAATGGGACTGCCTCTACTCTTCAATTTATATAAAAATAAGAGCATATCATCACTGAATATTCTGCTCCCTTTTTTAACAGTGGTATTCTTTATAAATCTAAGTCTTTCTTCTTTCACTAGAAAAGGTTTATCTAACAGGTATATTATAAAATATTAAAGAATACCACTGTTAAAAAAGGGAGAAGACTCAGAAATGATGTAAACCCACTGATTTACATAATTACTGAATCTCCTCCTTCCTTTTTTAACAGTGAAATCATATATAAGTCTTAGTCTCTCTTCTTCTTTCACTGGTTGATCTATCAGGTATATTCTTAAGAAGGTTAAAATTCAAACTGTCAACATGCTGTGGACCCTCTGCGCTGTCTTCTCTGCTCTAACATGTAAGAATCTCCTTTGCCTCAGAATACATGTATGTTTGAAGACATATTCTGTCTTTAAACACAAACCTGTTACTCATATGTGTTTTGGTTTGTTTACAGATGTTGATGCAGCTAAAGTTCTGACCCAGACACCAGCTTTTCAAACAGTTTCTAAAGGACAACAGGTGGTTCTTGGATGTAACATTCAGAAGCCTGAAAACTATTATGTCCGTTGGTACAAACAGATGCCTGGTGGAACTCCTCAGTATGTTCTAATGTTTTATCATTCTCACAGTTCTCCTAAATTTGGAGCAGGTTTTTCCTCTGACAGATTTGACTCTAAAGCCACATCGGATATAGACTACCAGTTTATTATAAAGCAGGCAGAGACAGGAGACACTGCAGTGTATTACTGTCACACATGGGATAACTCTACTATGGAGCATGTATCACAGTGATTCACACCATGACAAAAACCTCTGACAGATCTACTTCTGCTTTCAGAAAAACTACCATTTAATGATGTTTAAACACACAGGAAGATACCTTATTGCTGTTTTTAATATTTCTTCTTTGTGTGCTTTACTACATTTTTGAAAACTCTTAAAGGTTCTAATCACTAATTGAAAGCAAGCGTTAACCCCATTAACTCAATACATGTTTTCTAAATGTCTCTTCTTCATCCATCCTTTTTCTGTCACGCTTATCCCAAGCGGGGTCACAAAGGGTGCTGGTGCCTATTTCCATATGTCTACAGGGGTACACCCTTGACATATTTTATATGGATATAAAATAAAATAAAATAAAAATAGTTGAACCCCCTCAAACAAAAGAGTGAAACTGTAGAAGATCAAAATAAATAAAAGTTAAACCCTCAAAGAACTATCAGTTAAAAAAGCAGAAGTGTTTATGTTGAGGTTTTTGTCACAGCATAAATCACTGTTATACCCACTCATTAACAGAGCTGTCCCATACTTTACAGTAATAAACTGCAGAATCTCCTTTTTCTATGTTGTTGATAATCAAACGATAATCTGTTGTTGACTGATGAGTAGAAGTGTGTCTTGCAGAAGGGAACCCAGTGTCATATTGGGGTGAACTCCATTCATGATAAAACCTCAGCATATAGAGAGGAACTCCTCCTGGGATCTGTCTGTACCAACTAGGGCCAGCGTCAGTAACAGTCCCCAGGTTACAGTCCATGGTTGCTGTCTCTCCTTTCCTCACCGTCAGAACTGAAGGCTTCTGTGTCACCACTGTCACTCCACTCACACCTGGAAACAACACGAAGAAATAAAGTTAAGAGAAACACACAGACTGATGATTCCAACAGGAGCTCCAGTCTGCAGCAAGTCATCCTGCTTACATGTTAGAGCTGTGATGAGAGAGCAGAGGGTCCCCAGCATGTTGTCAGTTTGTGCTGAGAATAATCTTTGACCTTCTGAAGTGACCTCACTGCTGACAGGTGAGAGAAATTAGAGGATGAGGAGAGGAGGTGGAGGAGATATTTATCAGAAGACTCAGACTAACAGGAACAGACAGGAGGAGGAGCTCTGAGACTTTATGGTAAAACTTGTCCTAACAAGTTTTTCTTCTCAAATTCTCTATTGGCAAAGCAAGTTTATCTTAATAGAAATATTTTCAGTTAAAAAAAATATAAAATATCTTTAAATCATTTAAACAGTTAAATAAAAGGAAAATAAAAGCAATAAAAGATTCTAAAGTCTCCGGGCTAATGTGCTCTACTTTTGTAGTTGTAGTGAAAACATAGGCAGCAGAATTTTGGTACAGCTGCAGATGTCTGATGGACCTTTTAGGCAAACCTATGAAGACACTGTTGCAGTAATCAATTCTACTAAAGATTAATGCATGAATGATCTTTTTCCCAAATCCTGCTTGGACATTAGTCCTTTAATCCTGGAATTGCTCTTCAGGTGATAAAAGGCTGACTTAGTAACTGCCTTTCTGTGCCTCTGAAGGTTCAGGTCTGAGTCCATCATGACACCAAGATTTTGACCATAATCTGTGGTTTCTAGCTGTAGTAGCTGTGAGCTAACACTGGATTTCTCCTCCATTGGTCCAAAGACCTTATAGGTCTAAATATGTTTTTTTTATTTCACTTCAAAATAAGTGATTAAACAAAAATACTTTAGAGGTTAAACCCCAAACTGACAGCATGCTGTGGACCCTCTCTGCTGTCATCAATCCTCCAACATGTAAATATCTCCTTTGCATTACATATTCTGTCATGTCAAACATATTTCTTTCGTTTTGCTTGGAGATGTTAATGCAGCTAAACTTCTGACCACCCTTAAGAATTATTACCATACAGTTTCTTGTTCAGTGTTTTTTTTTTTTTTTTTTTACATTAATCTAATCTGTCTTTTACAAAAGTTTTTGCACCACCTTAAAAATTCTAGTCACTAGAGTCACACAGGTATGTACCCATTACACTCTAGTCACTGAGCGGGAATGATCAATTTTTTCACAAATTAATTTTGAACTACTTAAATCTTTTAAATAAACACACATTTAACACCTATTAAAAGATTAGATTGAATTTCATAAAAATGTTTTCTAAATTAAAAATGTAAATACAAATATGTCATTTGTTTCTTTTCAAAATACATAAATATGGAAATAGAAAATAAACAAAAAGTCAGAAACACTGATAAATGGGACTGCCTCTACTCTTCAATTTATATAAAAGTAAGAGCATATAAATTATTACTGAATCTTCTGCTCCATTTTTTAAAAGTGGTATTCTTTGTAAGTCTCAGTCTCTCCTTTTTCACTGGAAAAGGTTTATCTAACAGGTATATTATAAACCTTTTTCAGTGAAAGAAGAGATACTAAGACTTATAAAGAATACCATTGTTAAAAAAGGGAGAAGATTCAGTAATTATGTAAAACCACTGATTTACATAATTACTGAATCTCCTCCTTCCTTTTTTAACAGTGAAATCATATGTAAGTCTTAGTCTCTCTTCTTCTTTCACTGGAAAAGGTTGATCTATCAGGTATATTCTTAAGAAGGTTAAAAATAAAACTGTCAACATGCTGTGGACCCTCTGCGCTGTCTTCTCTGCTCTAACATGTAAGAATCTCCTTTGCCTCAGAATACTTTTATATTTGAAGACATATTCTGTCTTTAAACACAAACCTGTTACTCATATGTGTTTCGGTTTGTTTACAGATGTTGATGCAGCTAAAGTTCTGACCCAGACACCAGCTTTTAAAACAGTTTCTACAGGACAACAGGTGGTTCTTGGATGTAACATTCAGAAGCCTGAAAACTATTATGTCAGTTGGTACAAACAGGTTCCTGGTGGAACTCCTCAGTATGTTCTAGCATTTTATCATGCTTACAGTTCTCCTGAATTCGGAGCAGGTTTTTCCTCTGACAGATTTAACTCTAAAGCCACATCAGATATAGAGTACCAGTTTATTATAAAACAGGCAAAGACAGGAGACACTGCAGTGTATTACTGTAGAACATGGGATGACTTCTGCTAAGGAGAACATATCACAGTGATTCACACCATGACAAAAACCTCTGACAGATCTACTTCTGCTTTTAGAAAAACTACCATTTAATGATATTTAAACACACAGGAAGATACCTTATTACTACATTTAATCTTTCTTTTTTTGTGCTTTACAATTTTTTTGCAAACTCTCAAAGGTTCTAATCACTAATTGAAAGCAAGCATCAGCACCATTAACTCAATACATTTTTTCTAAATGTCTCCTCTTCATCCATCCTTTTTCCGTCACGCTCAGGGAGGTAACAAGGATTTTTGAAATACTGAGGTCAAATATTGGGATAAATCTTACTTGACAAAAAACATCCTAATATGGTGACTTTCTAAAATATATTTTGGAAACATGAATAAAGAGAGTTAAATCACAAGCCTATCAAGGAGGTAAATATGACCATGTTTATTAATTCCAAAATTCACAAAATTAGAGTATTTGAGTGAGTGAGTTGGTAATATTATTATCATTATCATCATTATACTATAATATTATTGTTGTTATTAATATTGGATTATTATTACTACCATTATTATTGTCACCATCATCACCATGTGCATGGCCCACTAAATTAATCAAATTACTTGCAATAATATATTACAATAGGGTGACCAGATCAGCACGGGGCCGCCGGTGTCCAGGCTACTGTCACCGCAAGAGAGTAACTTTGTGATGAAAGTTGGTGGGGACACTTGGGTGGTGACTTTCATTAGGCTAATTTTCCAAACATGAGCTCAAACGTATGTTTATTGAACGCTTTCCTATTTTTGAGAGAACAAGACCACAACACACTGATATTTGTATTTATAGATATTAGAGAGATGCCTTTTAGTGCATTACAAATATAGGGCCGAAAAAAATCAATGCATGAAAACAGTTATTAATAAGGGCTGATTGTGATGCCAATATTGATATAACATGCATCCCTAGGAGTACAATTTCAATTCCATCAAAAAAAAAAAAAAATGGAAAGCATAGCATATTTTTTTCTTGTAAACATTCTAGTAAACTTGGACATATTATATTGCATGTTGCATATCCCAGTAAATCTGTTTCACCTTTAAATCTGCAGCTCTCCCTGCTTCTCTCTGTTTAAAAAGATTTATTAACCTATTTACTAATATGATGATGCCAGAAACAAATTTTGAAAGAGATGTAGAAGCCCTGCAGTCTGATTCTGTCTGTTCAATAAGAAAACATGTTCATTTTAACCTGGGAGTCATGGACAAACTCTGTTTTCTCAAGCTTCTTGCATTATAATACCAACATGTTTAAATTTACAATCTGTTGCCATTTTTAGCTGAAAAAGCTCCGTATGTCTAACGAACTGATTTTTCGTGGGCATCTCTAATTATTTTAACCAACCCGTCTCCTAACTTTTACTTAAACATCAAAGTAGCTGCTGGTTAATATTCACTGAGTGCTGCTGTGTGTCTCTCCTCCAACCAGGTAGCTACTTTGTACGCTATGAAATGCGACTGCAAATCAGATGTCTCAAAGCGACAGATCCAATGATGTTACACTGAGAGGCGGGACACAGGAGCAGCAAGAGAGGAAAAAAATACAAACTCAAAACGTCAGATAACAGATAGCTCCACCCAACCTTTGTTACCTCGGCTGGCTCCCTGCCCCTGTCCACCGGGGTTCCCGGACTAGCCCCGGAGCTGACGGCTCGGTTTGAGTGCCCGGTTTGTTTCGACTATGTACTGCACTGTATTCAACCAAAATTCCCGATTTTGACATTTATTTAGCTCTGAAAAGTAGGACATGTTCGGGAAAAAGAGGTCTGGTCACCCTAAGATTTTGGACTTTTAAACAAATGAGAATGCATGCGGATCGTTACACCAATTAAAGTCAGAACAATTTTCATCATATCGTTGGACATTTCTTATTATCATTATTGTTATTTCAATAAATAACAATAATAAAAAAAAAAAAAAAAAAAAAACAGGAAAATACCAAAGACATGCCCTCAGTGTTCTCAATCCTGGTTACGGGGCTGGTCATGCTTATCCCAAGCGGGGTCACAAAGGGTTGTGGTGCCTATCTCCTGGTGTCTACAGGCGAGAGGTGTGGGTACATTCTTGACATATTTTATATGGTTATAAAATAAAATAAAAATAGTTTAACCCCCTCAAAAAAAAGATTGAAACTGTAAAAGATCTAGATAAATAAAAGCTAAACCCTCAAAGAACTATCAGTTAAAAAGCAGAAGTGTTTGTGTCGAGGTTTTTGTCACAGCATAAATCACTGTGATACGTACTCTTTAACAGAGCTGTCCCATACTTTACAGTAATAAACTGCAGAGTCTCCTTCTTCTATGTTGTTGATGATCAAATGAAACGATAATCTGATTTTGACTGATGAGTAGATGTGTGTCTTGCAGAAGGGAACCCAGTATCATATTTGGGTGAACTATAGTCATGATAAAACCTCAGCATGTAAAGAGGAACTCCTCCTGGGATCTGTCTGTACCAACGAGGGCCAGCCTTAGTAACATTCCCCAGGTTACAGTCCATGGTGGCTGTCTCTCCTTTCCTCACCGTCAGAACTGAAGGCTTCTGTGTCACCACTGTCACTCCACTCACACCTGGAAGCAACAAGAAGGCATAAAGTAAAGAGAAACACAAAGATTGATGAATCCAACAGGAGCTCCAGTCTGCAGCAAGTCATCCTGCTTACATGTTAGAGCTGTGATGAGAGAGCAGAGGGTCCCCAGCATGTTGTCAGTTTGTTCTGAGAATGATTTTGGATTTTCTAAGGGTGACCTCACTGCTGACAGATGGCAGAGTTTAGAGGATGAGGAGAGGAGGTGGAGGAGATATTTATCAGAAGACTCAGACTTACAGGAACAGACAGGAGGAGGAGCTCTGAGACTTTATGGAGTGAGGCATTTCTTTGACCAAATATGTTTTCTGATAAGCTTTTTAACATGTAGTAAACACATCTTTTATTGTAGAAATGGTAATTTATTATATAATATTTATCTCGTCTTATTTATTATATCATATTTATCTGACATAATCTGATAAATGATTAAGGTTGCAGACTTGCAGTCCCTCATTGTAAGAGGTGCTCTGCCTTTCATACATTAACTGAGGGCTACAAACTGCTTCATTTTGATTATATCATTGTTTTTTTCACATGTTATCCTTTAGCTGAGGAAAAAGTTGGTAAAATTAATATTTCTACTACCGGTATTTTTGGTATAAAGTCATTTATTTAATCTATGTTTTATACTGAGAGACAAACAAAAATCTTGGATGCTCATGCTTAATACCTAAATAAGGTCATAATTTTATCTTTATATATATATATATATATATATATATATATATATATATATATATATATATATATATATATATATATATATATAAAAAAAAAGATAAACCCCTTATTAAAAGTTCAAAGAATCATAATATAAAAGCATATGACACGAAAGGACAGGAAGTATTTTGTATTATTTTTCTTGCTGCTTGACTTGAGTTTCAAGATCTCCTTGTTTTCTCTGCTCATATTCTTTATTGGCAAAGGTTGTTTACTTTTATAATACAATTCACAACGAAGAAAATTCAAAACTGCTTTATATGAATGAAACGGAATAATAGAAGGAAAATAAAATCAGAATTACAGTAATAACATAGTTTAAAGTCTATTTTCTGACATACAGGGAGCCACTCTAAGGACATCAGAACAGGAACTGAAACCTCCTGCTGAGACCAACTTTCACTGAAAAAAAATCTTATTTCCTTCATATTTTGCTTTTATTACAAAACACACAAAGACACATAATTCTCTTTAGACATTTTCAAAGTACAATTTACACTGCCTGGCCAAAAAAAAAGTCGCAACCAAAAAAAAAGGTCACTCACTCTAATACTTTGTTGGACCGCCTTTAGCTTTGATTATGGCACGCATTCGCCATGGCCTTGTTTTGATAAGCTTCTGCAATGTCAAAAGATTTATTTCCATCCAGTGTTGCATTAATTTTTCACCAAGATCTTGCATTGATGATGGTAGAGTCTAACCACTGCGCAAAGCCCTCTCTAGCACATCCCAAAGATTCTCAATGGGGTTGAGGTCTGGACTCTGTGGTGGCCAATCCATGTGTGAAAATGATGTGTCATGCTCCCTGAACCAGTCTTTTACAATTTCAGCCCGATGAATCCTGGCATTGTCATCTTGCAATATGCCTGTGCCATCAGGCTTACGGCTACACAGCTGTTCTGTCCCAATCCCTTGTGTTCCCTTCGCATTGTGCGTGTGGAAATGCTCTTACTCTCAGTACTAAACATAGCCCTAAGTTCTACTGTTGTTTTTCTTCGATTTGATCTAGCCACACGTTTAAGTGATCGCCGATCACGATCATTCAGGATTTTTTTCCCAGCCACATTTCTTTCTTGAAGATTATGGGTCCCCACTATCCTTCCAGTTTTTAATAATGTGTTGAACAGTTCTTAACCCAATTTTAGTAGCAATCTCTTTAGATGTTTTCTCTGCTTGATGCATGCCAATGATTTGACCCTTCTCAAACAGACTAACATCTTTTCCACGACCAAGGGATGTGTCTTTTGACATGGTTGTTTAGGAAATGAGAAGCAAGTCATTGCACCAGTTGGGGTTAAATAACTTGTTGCCAGCTGAAAAATGATTGCATGCAGTAAATATCCCATGCAGTAATTATCCAATAGGGGGCTTGTACCTATTTGCTTAGTTGAATCCAGATGGAGACTTGTTAATAAATGTGTGTTGTGAACTGTTTTATATTCATACATTTTATTAGTTTTAGAGTTTAAGTCTTGTGTTGGTTTTTGTCACACTGTGAATCACTGTGATACAGCTTCATCTGCAGAGTCATCCCATGTCTGACAGAAATAAAGAGCAGAGTCTCCTGCCTCTGCCTGCTTAATGATAAACTGAAAATCTATACTTGAGGTGGATTTAGAGTTGAATCGGTCTGAAGAGAATCCTGTTCCATAGGACAGTAAACTATCAAAATGGCGGAAACTCAGAACATATTGAGGAACTCCACCAGGAACTTGTTTGCACCACCTGAAAGAGTTTCAATTGTCTCTCTGAATGTTGCAATTTAAAACAACTTGAAACTTGTTGAAACGGTCTCAAAAGGAGGTATCTGGGTCAGTGTTATCGCTGCATCAACATCTGGCAACAGAAGCAGGAAAAAACATGTGTAAAAGGTTTGCATGTGAAAATGTCACCTTAAGATCTCTGAGAAGAATTTTATATGTAAGAGCAGTGATGAGACTGCAGAGGATCCCCAGCATGATGTCAGTTTGTGGTGTAAAGGTTTGGTTCTGTCCAGCTGAAAGTTGAACTGAAGAGAGGAGAGAACCAGAGGCTTATAAAGACACTGAGGAGAGGAGAAGTGAGGGAGGAGGAGATTCATTAGACTAATATCTGAGATTAGATTGTTAAACTGTCTTCAGTTACTGTGAAACAGAAATGAAGTTTCCTATTTATGACAGTCTGAGCCCGACCATGATAAAACTTCTTATTCCACATTATTTATGAATCTTCTCTGAAAGAACTATTTGAACTTTGAAACTATTAAAAATATATCTCCTCTATGTATTTGAAAGAAATCCATGCCATATTAGATGGCTTGTGTAAACCCTGACAACTTGTTGAAGGTCAATGTTATGTTACATTTCATTACATTCACACATCTTCTGATTCTTGCTGCTGTGATGTTATGATATTTTTAAATGCCCAACCAAAGAACTAAAGGTGATCTTGAAGAATTTGAATTGTGGTCCAAGAAGCTTTTTAAATAATCTTTAGAAAGTGGAACATGTTTAAACCGATTCATAACTCAAATATTAGGTAAATAAAACATTGTTTGGCAAAATAATGTTTCATTAAATGACCTGCTCAGTCAGAAAGCAATAACCTTTATTTAACTGATTCCTAACCTTCTTTGATGGAGCTCGCAGCTAGCAGACATGCAGCAATTTGGTTCTGCAGTTAGCCACCAGGTGTTTCAGTGTTTGATCAGTCTGCAGATTCTGGACCTTGGCTTCTGGTTTTCCATGATGGTCCCTCTTTGATGTGGCTGGACCAAGAACAGCTCTGAGAGAGACAGAGTTTGCTACTAATGTTGGTGTTGATGTCTTTGTTATTTGTAATAAATGCCTCAAAGATGATTATAATGTTGAAAATTGCTTATGCACTTTCTGAATTCAGAAAGAATATTTCTCTGTAGATGGATGGATGGATGGATGGATGGATGGATGGATGGATGGATGGATGGATGGATGGATGGATGGATGGATGGATGGATGGATGGATGGATGGATGGATGGATGGATGGATGGATGGATGGATGGATGGATGGATGGACTTTCTGAATAACTTTATGTGAGTAAATATTGACGTTTCAGCTTGTAATGTGCAAGATATATCAATAGATCATGTTAAAAAGTCTATGTAATGATCATTGTAGTCCTTTAAATGTTGCTGCTACTGCAGAGAGATTTTAAGAGAATGCAAAAAGATGATTAAATCATATTTGCTCCTATAAAGGTTATACAGTATCAACAACCTCTAAAAATCTAAAGGATTGCTTAAAAGTAGTTCAAACCCCCCAAATACATTAAAATGTGAAACTGTAGAATACCTAAACAAATATAAGCCAAGTCCTCTGAGAACTATCACTGAAAAAGCAGAAGTGTTTGTGTCGAGGTTTTTGTCACAGCGTAAATCACTGTGATACGTACTCATTAACAGAGCTGTCCCATGTTTTACAGTAATAAACTGCAGAGTCTCCTTCTTCTATGTTGTTTATGATCAAACGATAATCTGTTGTTGACTGATGAGTGGAAGTGTGTCTTGTAGAAGAGAACCCAGTCCCATAGCTTGGTGAACTAAAGCTATGATGAATCCTCAGTATATATAGAGGAACTCCTCCTGGGATCTGCCTGTACCACTGAACAGCGCCAGTAACAGTCCCCAGGTTACAGTCCATGGTGGCTGTCTCTCCTTTACTCACCGTCAGAACTGAAGGCTTCTGTGTCACCACAGTCACTCCACTGACACCTGGAAACAACAAGAAGGCATAAAGTTAAGAGACACACGCAGACTGATGAATCCAACAGGAGCTCCAGTCTGCAGTAAGTCATCCTGCTTACATGTTAGAGCTGTGATGAGAGAGCAGAGGGTCCCCAGCATGTTGTCAGTTTGTGCTGAGAATGATCTTGTATTTTCTAAGGGTGACCTCACTGCTGACAGATGGGAGAGTTTAGAGGAGAGGAGGTGGAGGAGATATTTATCAGAGGACTCAGACTAACAGGAACAGACAGGAGGAGGAGCTCTGAGACTTTATGGAGTGAGGCATTTCTTTGACCAAATATGTTTTCTGATAAGTTTTTTTAATATGTAGAAAACACATCTTTTATATTTATCATATAATATTTATCTTGTCATATTTATCATATTATATCTATCTGACATAATCTGATAAATGATTAAGGTTGCAGACTTGCAGTATGTCATTGTAAGAGGTGCTCTGCCTTTTATACATTAACTGAAGGCTACATTGTGCTTCATTTTGATTATATCATTGTTTTTTTTCATATGTTACTCTTTAGCTGAGGAAAAATTGGTAAAATTAATATTTCTACTATTTTTTATATAAAGTCAATTACTTCATCTATGTTTTATGTAAACTGAGAAACAAATGAAAATCTTGGATGCTCATGTTTAAGGCCTAAACAAGGTTATCATTTTATCTTAATATTAAAAGAAAAACATAAACCCTTTATTAAAAGTTCAAAGAATCATAATACAAAAACATATGACACAAGGATCTGACTCTAACAAGTAAGAATATTTTTTCTACTGTTTAGCATCTAGGCTGGGGAATTTCTGTTTTTGCTTCCACAGTTTTGGATCCAATATTTCATGATACTATCCCATAATAAATTATTTCCATCCATCTTGTCCTGTCTAGTCCTGTCAGGGTCGCAGTAGGGCTTGTGCCTGTCTCCTGCAGTCTATGGGACAGAGGCGGGGTACACCCTGGACACGTCGCCAGTCTGTCACAGGGCAACACTGAAACACAGAACCGTGCACACACTTACACCTTAGGACAAGGAGGAGAAGCCTATTAACATAACAGTCAGATTTGTATACTGTGGGGGGAAGCCAGAGTACCTGCATAGAACAAATGCATGCACAGGGAGGACATGTAAACTCAGTTCATACAAACCCATGGACCACCGTGCTGCCCATGTTATTTATTAACTTTTTCAGAAGAACTATTTGAACTTTGGAACTATTTGAAAATATCTTTTCTCTAACAAAGTATTTGAAAGAAATCCATGCCATATTAGATGGCTCGTGCTTACTCTGACACCTGGTTGAAGCTCAATGCTAACTTGTAACATTTGCCTATATTAACACTTCTTCTGATTCTGATTCTGCTGTGAAGTTATGATATTTTTAAATTCCCAACCAAAGAACCAAAGGTGATCTTGAAGAATTAGAGCAACTGAAACATTTTTAAACCAATTCATAACACATGTATTACTGTAGGTAAATGAAACATTATTTGGCAAAATAATGTTACATTAAATGATCTGCTCAGTCAGAAATCAATAACCTTTATTTAACTGATTCCTAACCTTCTTTGATTGAGCTAGCAGCTAGCAGACATGCAGCAATTTGATACTGAAGTTAGCCACAGAGTGTCTCAGCGTTTGATCAGTCTGCAGAATCGGGTCCTTGATTGGTGGTTTTCCATATAAGGGTTAAAAACTCAAGAGAATCTCATGCTCTCCCCTTATATGAGGTGCCTCCTACTCCATGTTAAACTCATTGAAAATAACAGGGAAAAGTAGCTTCATGCAGTTCCCAAATATTAATATTCATAAAAAAGAACAAGAACTTGCTTAAAATTCTAAGGCAACATGATAATATATCTGATTGTCATTAGAATGTTTGTCTGCTTCAATCATGTTTCAAAATTTTATCTTGGATATATCATCACTGTAACTCTAACAAACCTTTGGCCATATAGTTATTAATTTAATAATTGAAAAAAAAATAATAATTGTTAGTTGTTTCCCTAGTTCTGAATAACCAAAAAACTTATTTTCGTTTGAATAATAGAAATTTTGATTTAACTGTAGTCAGTTCTATGGTAACATGTTAATATTTCTGATAGTTGTATTTTTATTCTGTATTCTTATCCTGACTGGAACTGATCACCTGTCCAGCTTTGTCTTCCACTCAAATCCAGAGAAAATAGATTGACAGCATAGAACCCTGTAATCCTAAAAAAGGATCAAAGGGACTAAAATCAAGGATTGACCTTTTATCAGAAAAATGTATAATAAGTAAATTCATATATTGTAAAATATGAAAGTAGAGTGAGTGTAGTTTAACATAAACCAGTCACATTTTCTTCAGCTTTTCTTTGAACATGTTTGAAGCTTCCTGGTTGTATCAATCTCTGCCTGTCCGTTTTAAAAAGTGAAATCTTGCACGGATACAGTCTGCAGAAATCTTTTGTTTGCCTTTGTGTACGTCTGCACAACAGAAAGGGAGCTCAGATTTCTATTATCCTCAGTACTTAAATATCATTGCTTTTCCAATACTGTTGTAATGTTACATATGTATAAATACAAATGTTAAAATACACAAAAGCTTCTTTTTAAAATTAATAAGGCTGGTTTATCAGCATGAGTTATTACAGAAATGCATTATCCTTAATGCAAGTATTTTGTTTTGTTTTTTTCTTACAAAAAAGGAAAGCAAACTTCGTATTGGGTGATGTAACAAGTGCTTACAATACTGTACATACCAAACCTCATTGTTAGTCTAATGAATTTCCTCCTCCCTCAATTCTCCTCTTCTCAGTCTCTTTATAAGCCTCTGGTTCTCTCCTCTCTTCAGTTCAACTTTCAGCTGGACAGAACCAAACCTTTACACCACAAACTGACATCATGGTGGGGATCCTCTGCAGTCTTGTCACTGCTCTAACATGTAAGATTCTTCTCAGAGATCTTAACATGACTATTTTCGCATGCAAACCTTTTACTCATGATTTTCCCTGCTTCTGTTGCCAGATGTTGATGCAGCGATAACACTGACTCAGATACCTCCTGTTGAGACGGTTTCAACAGGACAACAAGTTGTTTTAAAATGCAACATTCAGAGAGACGATCAAAACTTAGTCAGATGGTTTAAACAAGTTCCTGGTGGAGTTCCTCAATATGTTCTGAGTTTTCGCCACTCCAATAGGGCACTCCACTTTGGAACAGGATTCTCTTCAAACCGATTCAACTCTAAATCCACCTCAAGTATAGATTTTCAGTTTATTATTAAGCAGGCAGAGGCAGGAGACTCTGCTCTTTATTTCTGTCAGACATGGGATGACTCTGCAGATGAAGCTGTATCACAGTGATTCACAGTGTGACAAAAACCAACACAAGACTCAAACTCTATAACTAATAAAATGTATGAAGATTGAACAGTTCACAGCACACAGTTATTAACAAAGAAAATAAATGTTACTGTTTCAACATGTCTACAGAGAACAATGTGTGTGTTTTATAATAAAAGCAAACAGATGAAGAAAATGAGATATTTTCAGTGAAAGTTGGTCTCAGCAGGTTTCAGTTCCACTCCCTGATCAGAGACTATCAGGAGGTTTTTGTACGGCCATGTATACAAACTGAATCACTGTGGTATTCGGCCAAGGAACCAAGCTGATTGTAACAGGTAAGGAATTTTTTTTTTGATTACTTTAAAATAAGATTTTTTCTAATTTTCTGTTTTATTGTTCAAGGATTATTTTTACATATATATATCTAAAGAGTAAAAGTACATATTTTGGTCATTTTTTGTACTTTTGTTTTGCTTTGATAAAACGTCTGGATCTAATACAACTGAAACAGCGTTGAACTAAATTATGTAAAATTGTTACAAAAAGCTGTATACTGTTCTATCAAATAAGTTTAACATGTTTTACAAATTGATTATTTCCTTCTGAGACTGAAAGAAGCAACATAATGTAGAAATAGTTCTATTTAAATTATACAGGCCGATAAAAAGAAACAGCATTGTGCTTTTTTAAAGCAACTTAAATCAATAAGGATTCAGAAAAACTGAACAAGTGATATCATACAATTTGCTATTTAATTTGTTAACAGTGCAATTTTAATAGGATAATTTTTTTTTTCTAATTTACCATTCACTTGAAAATAAACCCAAGTTTTTATTAAACCACATATTTTACATTTTTATATTTTTGATTAAAAAAAATACATCCCACCATCCCTTAAAAACTAATAACTCATAATGATAATGAGGTTGTAAATATACCCTTTTCCGTAGTAAATTCACAAGAATATAGAGTTTCATAAATGATTATTGTTTTTCTATCGTTCATAGTGATGTCATGTTCATTATCTTGTGTTATAAGTCACAACTGACTGGAGAATAACGTCGAACAAATCCTCAGTATCCTTTTAATTACTGACTAATCAAATTTATTAAGCTCATAAATCTTGGTATAATAATAGAAAATGCTAAAGAGCTTAAGTGTCATTATATATAATATATATGGGTTTTGTAATATGACTATGCTATTTTGTTGCTTACATACGTAATTGTGTTATCTGATAATGTCCTCCATGTCCTTCCAGACTCCAGTCTCCCTCCTCCTGTCCTGACTGTCTTCCCTCCATCCAGTGCTGAGCTACAGTCCAACAAAGCCACTCTGCTCTGTCTGTCCAGTCAGTCTGGGCCTTTTGCAGATGTGAGCTGGTTGGTTGGTGGGAGTCCAGTGACCAGTGGAATCTCTACCAGCACTGCTGTTCAGAGACCAGACCAGACTTTCCACATCAGCAGTTCTCTCTCCATCCAGACATCAGACTGGAACATGAATAAGGTTTATACCTGTAAAGTGTCTTTGGGCTCCCAGACTGCAGAGAAAACCATCAACAAGTCAGGATGTCCTGCTGAAGAACAGTAGAGGACCACAATCATCTATAATCTGCTTCTTTATTGTTTTGCTTCTAACCAGAGTTTAAAAAGAATGTTTTTTCAACATTTATTGCTGCATCGGTTTTCTTTTTCAATAAAAAAAAAAACATACATAATAAAATTATAGACTGATGTGCATTTCAATAAATATTAATGAGAGTAGCTGTGCGTCAGCACACTTTGCCTGTGATAATAATGATAATGATAATTGGAAAATAAAAGGGTCTGCATTCATAGAGTGTATTCATGTGTTTCTATCTTGTACATTTTCAAACTCTATTATTTCAATCAACTTGAAGAAGTAGGAAATATGTAGATACAACATAAAAGAAAAATAATGTATGTTTAAGTTCTTATAAGTTAATGATAGTCTGATAGAACAGATAAAAACAGATTAAAAACAGGGGATAACGTATTTATTTTTCAATCAGTAAAGCATAACTTTTTCTTCTCTCCACCTCTTCAGTTTACAGACTTCCTCTGTTTTTTTTTCTTTTTATGTTATTAATTTAATGCGGTTTAAGAGGAAACAATCCCTGAGATACTGAGGTTAATATTGGCAAGTTAAAGCTTAATGAATCCTAAGTTCACATTAAAACAGAGTAGGCTATTAAAGAAACATTTAAAAATAACTAACAAGAAATAATCAACTATATAACAAGTGACTGTGATATATACACACATATTATTTGTGAACATTTCATCACGTCATCATCCAAGGATAGTTTATTTTAAGTTTATTATTGATACTTGATGATTTGAAAGAAATAAAAAAAAACATTTGCAGGTCCCAAGAGAGTCCGAAAACTGGAGCTCCTCATTTACATGAATGTATAAATATAGAGTAAAGGTCTGCAGCTGCATCCTGTGATAACAGAGAGGAAGATGTAGATAGAGGTTTCACTGACAAGAACTGAAAATCTCTTTAATTGGTTCGCATGATTAAATATTTATATCTTTTTTTTTTTTAATCGAAACAAAATCTGATTTACTATAATAAGGGTTGTTTGTGTCTAAGGTATGGAACAGAAAAAATAAAGTTTCATTTATTAACACAGGGAAGTTCTAATCTAATATTTAACACTTAAAAGATTACCAATTAATAATTACATCATCTTCTAAAAAATATTTTTTTAATGTGTGAAGTTGTTAAAAATCTCATTTAGTGCTGCTTCTGTGGTTAAACTGACTGATATATTTATCTTATTCTATTTAGAGGTTAAATTAAAGTTTTAATTGTGAAGAGTAGGATTAAGCGGTCATACATTTTGTAGGAATTGCTCATGCTGGAAACGAGTGTGGCTACAGTACAGTAGACTTTAATTTGCATTGTGTCACTGGCTTTGCAACAATCCATCACATGGAGCATGCATGCAGTGAAAGTGGAGAGGAAAAAATCCCTTTGAACACATAGAAACCTCCAGCAGATCAAGGTTATTTACCAGAACAGCGACCACAAAATTCAGCCTTCAAAAGCATCAAAATCTGCTCCAATCTGAATACTTTCACTCGTATGAGGGACATGTATGTGGCTGTTATTGTAATTTTTTACTCTGCCATTGACCTGAACCTTGTTACTCAGATGAGTCCTGATGTCCATTAATGCACCGATAAAACCATTAATACACCAAATATAAATATACTTAGATTTCAGGTCAGAAGGCTCCTCCATTGTTTAGGCACTCTATTTAATTAAATCACAAAGACATTGATAAGATATCAAAGGCATCTAATTATGATCTAATCAGCCTTTTTCAATGGGGATATAATTTAGTATTACACTCTAACATCAGATTCTTAGCCGTTTCCAACGCCATTTCATGTTGTGAACAATTTCTGTACAATTCAGGTGGAGCAGAAAAACTAAATAATTTCCTGCACATCTTTAGTCCTGCCCTGGGATTACAGAATGAAGAGGTCCCTGATTACCTCTGCACTCCAGATGTTTACCATCCAACCAGCAACTCCAAAATGTCTAGAGGTCCAACACTATTTAGCCTCTTAATGGCAAAAAAATTTTTTATTGACTTCCATCCTTCTACTACAACCTCTAAGGTGCTAATGTAGTGATCAAAGTACAGATGAGCTGCATGTGCCTGATTGATTTTTACAGGAACCTAAATGGATGAAAACAATATTTGAAAGTTTCTTCCCAATAGGTTAAAATCACATATAACATATTTTAGAAATTGAGGTAAGATTAACTCTATTTTCACTGCAGGATATATCTTGTGATTTATTTAAAGTAATCTGATTCATTGTAAATATGGTCGCAATCAGTCAGATCCAATCATTCAATTTATGTATCCCAATTCGATTCAAGGAAATGTTAATTTAATGATTTTGGTTTCAAAATTTTAATTTCATGTTATTATCTTCAAAACTAGACAAAGAAAATAATCTATGAAATTAAATCTATAATTCAACCCAGCTTTCCACCTCCAGTGTTAACAATATTCTAAACAACTGAGAGAAGTAACAATCAGAAAACATACAAAACAGTAGCTTCTAATGTACAATCATATGTTTTTGTTAATGATATTTATTTTTTCTGTAAATTAGTGACCAAAATGAAAGACATGAGTGTAATGTTTGTTTAAAAGACAACATATGTAATGCAAAGGAGATATTTACATGTTGGAGGATTGATGACAGCACAGGGGGCCCACAGCATGCTGTCAATTTGTGATTTTAACCTCAACAGTATTTTGTTCATTTCTTTTCAAGTGAAATAAAAAAAACATATTGAGACCTATAAGACCTATAAGAAACCACTGATTATGGCCAAAATCTTGGTGTCATTATGGTCTCAGACCTGAACGTTCAGAAACACAGAAAGGCAGTTAAACTTTTTATCACATGAAGAACATTTCATTTTAAAGGATTAATGTCCAAGCAGGATTTAGAAAAACCCATTCATATATATATCTTTAGTGGAATTGATTACTGCATTAGTGTCCTCATAGGTTTGCCTAAAGAGTCCATCAGACATCTGCAGCTGATCCAAAACACCGCTGCCCATGTTCTCATTTGAACTAAGGAAGTAGAGCACATCAGCCGGGTTCTGAAGTCCCTTTAGTGACTTCTCGTATCTTAGAGAATAGAATTTAAAATCATTTATTAATTTTATTCCACTTATTTTTTACTTTGAATTTTGCCTGTGATGAATTATTCCATTAGAATAAACTTGCTTTGCCAATAAAGTATTGGAGAAGAAAAAATATTAAAGAGGAGTTTTACCATAAAACTATCAGAGCTCCTCCTCCTGTCTGTTCCTGTTAGTCTGAGTCTTCTAATAAATATCTCCTCCACCTCCTCTCCTCATCCTCTAAACTCTCTCATCTGTCAGCAGTGAGGTCACCCTTAGAAAATCCAAGATCATTCTCAGAACAAACTGACAACATACTGGGGACCCTCTGCTCTCTCATCACAGCTCTAACATGTAAGCAGGATGACTTACTGCAGACTGGAGCTCCTGTTGGATTCATCAGTCTGTGTGTTTCTCTTAACCTTATATCTTCTTGTTGTTTCCAGGTGTGAGTGGAGTGACAGTGGTGACACAGAAGCCTTCAGTTCTGACGGTGAGGAAAGGAGAGACAGCCACCATAGACTGTAACCTGGGGACTGTTACTGACAGTAGTGCCCGTTGGTACAGACAGATCCCAGGAGGAGTTCCTCTCTATATGCTGAGGTTTTATCATGGCTGGAGTTCACCCAGATATGAGACTGGGTTCCCTTCTGCAAGACACACTTCCACTCATCAATCAACATCAGATTATCGTTTGACTATCAGCAATGTTGAAAAAGGAGACTCTGCAGTTTATTACTGTCACACATGGGATGACTCTGCTAAAGAGGAGGTATCACAGTGATTCACACCATGACAAAAACCTCGTCAATACTTCTGCTTTTTAACTTGTTGATATGTGAAGCATAGAGGCAAAAAAAATGTCAAGGCCGAATTTTAGATCCTTTAAGTCTTCATTTAATGTAAATACAATGAAATATTATGATTGTTTAAGCTTATTTATTGAACACAGAACAATGACAGTGAGAACATTCTATTAAAATCTAATTTAAAAAAAACACAAAGCTCAAGACTCCCTATGAAAACAACACCAGTTTATAAAAAATCCCATCTCAGTTTAACAACTAAACTAAGGAAAGTACACAATCTGGACCTAATAAAGTATTTTCTGAATTGTTTCATATTTGCAAAACTAGCAAGTCTTATTAATTAACTTGATTAATGATTTACTTCAGTCTTATTGTAAAATCAAGGATCATGTGTTTACCCTTCCACAATCAAAGTACCATTATCAACAGAACTTTATTTTTTCATCTTTAATGATCAGAAACCAAAGAAAAAAATGAGACAATATAAATTATTCACCCAAAAAAGCTAAAACTTCATAAGAAAAATAAAATCCAACCATTATTTTTTTTTTTTACTCCAGCAAAATGGATCCTTAAGCATTGCTTTTAAGACTGAAAGTAAATTTTCTCTCTTGCCCTGTTTTCATTTACCTAGATTGTTATACTTTGAGTCAGCCTTCTCTTTCAAAGGTTCAACTCACAGCTAAATTTTTAGGAACACAAACAGACATGCTGTAGCCTCTCTGAGTTATAATTGCTGCTGATACATATGTTCATCTCTGGTTCTTTATTATTATTATTAGGGCTACAACAACGAATCGATAAAATCGATAAAAATCGACTTTTAAAAGCGTTGGCAACGAATTTCATCATCGATTAGTTGTGTCGCGCGATTATTGCGTCATCCGCTGCGCCGTCATCACTGCCTCTTGACTGAAAGAGGAAAAAAAAAAAATATGGCAGAGCGAGTCAGCGCCGCAGGTGCAGTGTTGCCAACTCAGCGACTTTTCAGACCCCTCCAGTGACTATTTTTCAAAACAGCGACTAGCGACAAATCTGGCGACTTTTTTCGGTGTCACTGGCGGCTTTTGGAGACTCTTACGTGAAAGCATGTATCGTTCCTACTCTGCCGTGGGGCGCCTCCCCCACACCAACCGCGTTTTCCCGCAGGACTCCCTCTCAGCGCTGCAGTCAGACCCTCAGCGTCCAGACTGCAAATGAAGCGCGCATGCACCGGGATTGACGGCGCAAATTGATCACAATAATTAAAATAGCCTGCGCTTTGTAAAGCGAAAAAATGTGATAACATGCAACTTTTTTCAAAAGAAATTAACATGGCACGGAAGCACCATGTTTGTTTGGTTTTAAAGTGGGGAAACGTAACGTTAGTTTCTCAGGTAGCTCATCTGATGCTTTCCTTACCGTGTTAGTAGGTTACAGACAGTGATAAGGTTGGCTACTTATTTTACTTCTAATTTCATTTGAATTAGCTTAAGCAGCGTTTATATTTTCTTTATAAATAAATTAACTTGCAAATTATGAGGGCAAGGCTTTTAAAGTTTAAATCTTCTGGCAAAGATAAAGTAAAGAAGATCCTGCAATTTATGGAAGTAAAGCAGAACAAAATCCAGCAAGATCAGTAATATGTCAATTAATTATCTGCCACATTCCCATGTAAATATCTGTCTTTGGAGGATGTGTTTTTTAGCACCCCTAGTTCTCTCATTTTTATTCCAAATACAATTTATAATTTGAATCACAGGGCTATTTTTATCTCTATGGTTCAGTATTTTCTCAAGTAGCAACTTTAACTGCTATACTTTCCTGTCTTAAAAGGCAGAACTCTTCTAGTCTAAAAAAACTCATTTGTTGAAAAGGGGGGACCTATTTTTTGAACCCCTTAGGGGCTTTTAAAAACAAAAATGTCTTTTTTTGTGCTTTATGAAACAAAGTAGCCTATATTTTGTGGATGTACAGCTACATTTCTCATGTAAGTTTGCGTAGTTTTAACACAAACATTTATTTTTCATATTGCACCAGTACAGTTAATGAGCAACCTGTACTTGTGTGCTTGTTTGTTCTGTCTAAAATGTTTATTTTGGAATAAAGAGGTTAATATAAAAAAATTTTTTTGTCCGATTCATCGATTAATCGAAAAAATAATCGTCCGATTCATCGATTTTTAAAATAATCGTTAGTTGCAGCCCTAATTATTATTATTATTATTCTTATTATTATTATTATTTCTTTTTCTTCATTGTGATACCTCAAGGTATCACAATAGAGAAATTCCTTATTCATCCGGAATATCTCAGACACTCAGAAGCTGTCAGGTTTGGTGGTTGTTTGTTGAGGGCCAAGATTCAGAGATGAAGAGGCAGAGATGATTTTTTTTGCAGATTTAATCATGTTGATAGGACAGAAACAACTAATCCAGAAATAACAGGCAAAGAAATCAGGAATCAAAAACTAGGAGACGCTCAGTGAAACTAACATAAGTAATAGAGTAATGAAGAGAATCCAGCAAAGAGAGGAACTGCACAGGAGCTGTATATTTGATTAGGTAAGATAAGACTCCATCTCTCACTTTCATTTCACATCGCTCACTAGTAAAAGAAAGGTGCAAAAAGGAGGAAAAGGGGCATGGGGTATATACCACATGGGAGAAACAATACATGGGCTAATCAGTTAATAGGGAGCAGGTATGGGCAGGAGCAACTAAAAAGAAAATAAGCGGAAAGAAAAGGGACAATAGGGGCAGCAAAATATAATCAGGAAAAACAGGATCTAACTGTAAAGAGGAAAGAACTTAAATTAAGCTAAAGGAAATAAAACCAATAACTGCAACTAAAACTAGACCAAAAAATGAATAATATATGAATAATGTGAATAATATCAACAATTCTGAAGAGATAACTGAAAGAACTAACTGTCATGATCTGGCCTGTTTGCTCTCCCTTAATTAGTAATTCCTCTTACCTGCTGTTTCTCCTCCGTCCCTCAATCATAATTTATTCCTCTCACCTGTTTCCTCTGGTTTAAATTCAGTTCAGCCTGAGCATTCAGGGCCAGATCATTACTTGTCTTTCTGTTAGCCTGTCTGTTAGTTTTATTTCCTTGGTTAATGTCCTGGATCCTAGCTGCCAGTGGAAAGAGGGTTTTAGTGTTTGTCTCGTCTCCTGATTGTCCACTGTTCCTCCCCCGCGGAGTCCTCTGGGTTTTGGCTCATTATGGGGGGAGGTTAAGTTTTTTTCAAAGTAAGCCTGGCTCCAGGGAGGAGACCAGTTTAAAGTTCCTGCATCAAGTTCTGGTTCCACGTCCTGTCTCGGCTACCCTCTCCCACTGAGCCTGCCTGTCTGCACCTGATCCTGTCTGCTCCTGTGCGTGACCACCTGGTCATGCTTCTGGTCCCAGTCAGACTCTGAACCCTCCTGGGAGCCTGTGGATGTCTGGAAGTCTGGATCCTGCCACCTGTTTCTGTTCCTGCCTGATCTGGATCCTGCCTGTTCCTGTCTCTTTCTGTCTGTTCTAGATCCCTGACCAGGACCGGCTTCCAGCATGACCTCTGGAACTGCAGCACTGGGACATTCTTGGTCTGGACTGCTAAACCAGGTAAGTGACTCACTGAGAACATCATCTTCAGTCAGATGATCGTGGTCACTTACCTGTGTTTCTCCCCTAGAGTGTCTGAGATTGGGCGGTGCCCTGCCCCCCCGCCTGCAGTGTCCGCGAGCCACAGCTCCGCTTTTGTTTTTTTAAATTTAATAAACGTTTGAACTTTCCTACTGACTGTCTCTCCTTGAATACTGGGTCCACATGTCCTCGGTTCATGACACTGACAAATGGGAGTAAAACTAAGAATTCAAAAGTGATAAACACTGAACAACATAATATAAAGCATAACTGAGAGCCCAAAAGAAAACCTAAACAGAAACCAAAAGTCCAGAAAGAGCAGAACCATGACAAAAGCATTTTCCCGATACATTGGTTAATCGTAATGACAGAATACACAAATTTAAGCTGAATAGAACTGTGTACGCGTTCCATTGCATAGAGGGTTGTACAGCCTCCTGTTTTGGAAAAACCAAATAACATCTACATAAATGTGTTCTACAGCATAGGAGCGCCAGTAAATCATGGAAAGAATCAGATGTGCACTTGCAACTCAAGAACAAATGACACACATTTGAAAAACAAAATGTTCAGATTCTGGACAGAGAGAACTGGTTGGAAAGAGGGGTGAAGGAAGCCATATTTGTTAAAAAGAGAAACATCACTGAATAGTTGAAAGATTGCATTTTCAGCCTCCAAGTATTTACACTTTAGTCATGGAAATAATCTCAAAGGAATTACATAAAACCTCTCATTTGTGTTCAAAAAGCCAATCACAGAGCTCCTGCATAATAAGAGTCCAATAATTCAGAAGAACAAGGGGTGGATATTTGATCTGCATCTGACTTGTAATGTGCTTGTAATGTACTGTAACTAAAGATTGTTCTGGTGTGAACCAGTGTGAACCAACAAAATTGACAGTAACTCCTGTAAAGGGATCAAAACGTTTTTAGAATAAACTGTCTGGTTGCCTTCTAATTAAAGCCTGTTTTATGGTTGCTATGACAGAGAATTTACAAAGTTATCATTATGATACTATACTCTATTTGCATTAGCTTTTTGGTTGGAAAAATCACAATAAAATGCAATGCTTCAAAACAACACACTTAAAAATATGCATAATTGTTAGAGCTTGATATTCACCTTTCTACACAATGCTTTTCAATTAGTTAAGGGAGTTCCATGAATAATCACATTTTCAATTCTCATTTATAGCATAGGTTTATACACACATAGCTTGGACATGTCATTATTATTTGTCATAATATCTTTGCTGTTTTTTTTAATGGTTATCTGTACAGCTCATTTAACAATTCTGATTATTATTATTTTCTAAACAATATCTTTAACTTTTTACATGGAAAAGTAGGTCTTAATATATTTCATTGGTTAGAATTCCATATGATAAAAGTGTCTGTGTTGAAATTATTTCTGTTCTGTTCTATTTTATATATAAAAAAAATCTATGTGCAACATAGTTAAACATGTTAAAAAGCACAGGTGTTTTTAGTGAGGTTTTTGTCATGAAGCCTAGGCAGAAGTTAGGAGCATATAATAGATTTTAAATTTAGAACCAGGCTGATGTGCTCTTCTTTCTTAGTTTTAATAAGAACACATTCTATTTCGGATTAGCTGATGATGTCTGATGGACTCTTTAGGTAACCCTATGAGGACATTGTTGCAGTAATCAATTCTACTGAAGATAAATAATAAAATTTGTTTTTCTAGATCCTGCTTGGACATTAGTCCTTTAAATGTTTTAAAATGTTTCAGAAGTAATCCAGCTTGGGAAAATGTAAGCAAGCGGAATGCGAAGGAGAGAGGCATCTGAGCAGGCAGAGAGGCGGAACACCAAAATTATAAAGAGATGAGTATTTTTCTTTGAAAAATACTCATCTCTCTTTTTTTTTTTTTTTTTGCTTTTCGTTTCCTCCAAATGAAAATTTTTCAGCTGGATGGAATATCTTTATAATTATTTTAAGGAATTTTAAAAAATGTCCAAAATCTTAACCATCATCATCATGCTGGTATCACCTTATATACATTTAAAAGTTATGTCAGAATATTGGTAACCAGACTTTTTAATCCAATCATTTTTACTATGGGTGTTTAAACAGGATTTTGATATGGACAACATGTAGCATTAGTGGGATATTTTCTAAGAAGATCGTTTTATATCCACTGGTGAGTTAAACTATATTTTGATCCTCCAACCGTCACCTTCTTTAGAACTTTATTAGCATGTACATCTGTTTGGTCTTTTGAGAGTAGCAATCAATTTAAAAGGATATTTAAGGAGGTTATCTATTTAGGAACTTCCATGATTTAACTGAAGTGTATAAAATAGTACATGAGGTTGCCACAAAGCTGATTTGCTATGGACATATAATATAAATATTTAATTTAATTAGATTTTCACACCTCAATGTGCTCATGGTATAAATGCAGGGCCCATTCAGTTCAGTACAAATCAAAGTAAAAGTAATGACAAGTTTAAAATAATGTGAACATTACAATCACTAAAGTTGAACTTCAGCAATCTATTATCATTTGAAAGCATTAAAAAGGATGTGGTAAATGTTTTTGTTGTACCTTAAATCTCCTACCTGTTTTCTTTCCTGAGCTTCTTTATACATCTCAGTCATGTTCTCTCACCTTCTGTCAAGGTTTGGTAGAGGTTAGAGGACCCAGATGCAGAGGGGCTGAGGAGATTTCTTGCAGTTTTAATGATGAAGAACAGTAACAAACTCTGGAGACAACTGGGGAAACCAAACACAAGGAGCCAGGGAGAGACGGGGTGGGTAGACAACTGTATGAGAAGAGAGCAAAGACAAGGAACCAACAAGGAGTGACAGCAGAGGTAGAGTATAAATAGCTGACTGAGACAAAGGCAGGGCTAACAAGCTTACAAGGAGCAGGTGTGAGAGAAGACAACAAGGTAGCCAAGGGGAAAGGAACACACACACACACACACACACACACACACACAAGAGGGCAACAGAGGACAACAGAATAACATGAGAACTAACATAAATCAACAAAACAGGAATTAAACCAATAAAACTAGAAAACAAGGAGCAAAGTAAAGTACAACAGAACCAAGACCATGACACCTTAATTTTAGGGAACATTGACTCCACAAGCTGACAAGCTGTCATTGGATTCTACATTATGTCAACCACAAATGCAGAAAATTTCAGACCTCTAGCTACAACAGTTCCAGAGCTGTGGGGCTTTGAACTTTTGGTGTCACCAGCGTCTCCAAATCTCTCCAAATGAGCTAGATTGTGCTAAATTGTGCCAAATGCTTTTAGTCAACTATTTGACCCCTAGAATAACACCGAAGCCTTATATGATGGCCACAAAACATTTATGAATCAAGTATTTTTCAACTTTTTTTTTTTTCAGAATCAGTGTATATAACAAAATGTAACATTTATGACACTAAAATAACATAAAATCTATAAAAAAAAAAAAAAGTGAAACAGTTGATTTTCAAGCTTAAATAAGCCCCAGAGCCTATTCTGAGCTGTATTTTGTTTTGTTTTTTTGGCCTTAGGTATTGTAATAAACAAAATCACCATCCAAACTTCAAAAATATCATACCGTTGTTATTATTCAGCTTTGAAATGCGCGCATTTATTAATTCTAAGCAGTGTGTTTCACTCTTACACAAGCCAGTAACACGGCTCTGCTTTATGCAACCCAGTCATGTCTACTCTTGTTTGAAACCTTATTTCATTGGCTACAAAGCCAAACAGCCGACCTGGTAATATCGCTCTAATGTTTACATTTTGACATGCTGCTATATCTGTGTTAATTGTGCTTTGGTGCTGCTGTCATGATCTGGCCTGTTTGCTCTCCCTTAATTAGTAATTCCTCTCACCTGCCCTCTTCCTTCCCTGCCTCAATTATAATTTATTCCCCTCACCTGTTTCCTCTGGTTTATATTCAGTTCAGCCTGAGCATTCAGAGCCAGATCATTACTTGTCTTTCTGTCAGTTTTATTTCCTTGGTTCATGTCCTGGATTCTAGCTGCCAGTGGAAAGAGGGTTTTAGTGTTTGTCTCGTCTCCTGATTGTCCACTGTTCCTCCCCCACGGAGTCCTCTGGGTTTTTGGCTCATTATGGGGGGGGGGTCAGTTTTTTTCAAAGTAAGCCTGGCTCCAGGGAGGAGACCAATTTAAAGTCCAGCTTCAAGTTCCAGTTCCTACGTCCTGTCTCGGCTACCCTCTTCCACTGAGCCTGCCTGTCTGCACCTGATCCTGTCTGCTCCTGTGTGTGACCACCTGGTCATGCTTCTGGTCCCAGTCTGACTCTTAACCCTCCTGGAAGTCTGTGGATGCCTGGAAGTCTGGATCCTGCCACCTCTTTCTGCTCCTGCCTGATCTGGATCCCGCCTGTTCCTGTCTGTTCGGGATCCCTCACCAGGATCAGCTTCCAGCATCACCTCTGGGACTGCAGCACTGGGGACACTGGACTGGACTGTTAAACCAGGTAAGTGACCTTCACAGATAATCTCCTATCAGTTGATCGTGGTCACTTACCTGTGTTTCTCCCCCAGAGTGTCTGAGATTGGGCGGTGCCCCGCCCCCCCGCCTGCAATGTCCGCGAGCCACAGCTCCGCTTTTGTTTGGTTTTAATTTTAATAAACCTTTTGAACTTTCCTACTGACTGTCTCTCCTGAATACTGGGTCCATCTGTCCTTGGTTCATGACAGCTGCCTGTATCCACAAAATGAACTAGGTGGTTGGACTGTAAAGAGAATCTAAGCTTTTCAACAATGTCTAACATATCTATATTGGTAAAAGTTTTACCGTTGTACTCCTCATGCAGTTGTTAGTTGTAAACGCTATAAAAATGGTTGCAGACGATCGGGTGGGTTTTGAGGGGCTGAAAGAATTCTTGCTTCTCACATGTAATAAGTAAAAAAGGAACAATATATAGTGATAATTCAGTTAAGTTTTCATGATGCTTTATGCATAAATATCCTAAAAAATGTAACAGTTGTTTAAAGAGAAAAATTGTACGGGAAATTAAAATATCAGATTTTGAGACTAAAATTAATTTTCGGTGGTTAAAAAAATAGTGGCTATAATATAAATTGTGCCATCAAATTGGTTTCAGCCATGCCTCCAGACTGCACCACAGTGAGCTCTCTCATTAACTTCAGCCAACCTGATCTTCCCTGATCCGGCTTTGGAGTACTGTTTGAGAAAAACTGGATTTACTAGTTCATGATGCTAAAATAATTAAAAACAAATCAAGAGACTGATGCCAATTTGGTCAAAGAAGTCCTTCACACCATAACGTATCAGAGCTCCTCCTCCTGTCTGTTCCTGTTAGTCTGAGTCTTCTGATAAATATCTCCTCCACCTCCTCTCCTCATCCTTTAAACTTTTTCATCTGTCAGAAGTAAGGTTACTTCAGAAGGACCAAGATCATTCTTAGCAGAAACTGACAACATGCTGGGGACCCTTTGCTCTCTCATCACAGCTCTAACATGTAAGCAGGATGACTTACTGCAGACTGGAGCTCCTGTTGGATTAATCTATGTTTCTCTTACTGTAACTTTATGTCATGTCTTTGCTTGCAGGTGTGAATGGTGTGGTAGTTGTGTCACAGGTGCCTTTAGTTGTGATGGTGAGGAAAGGAGAGACGGCCAACATGGACTGTAATTCAGCTGTTACTGGACCACGTTTTTTCAAACAGATTCCAGGAGGAATCCCTCAGTTTGTTTTAAATTTTAATAAGGGCTGGAGCTCTCCAGACTTTGGTTCTGGTTTCTCTGCTCCCAAATTTACTGTTAATCATCAGTCAAACTCAGATTATCATCTTAGAATTAGCAATGTTGAAGGAGACGCTGCAGTATATTACTGTAGCACATGGGACACCTCTGCTAAAGAGCACGTATCACAGTGATTCACACCATGACAAAAACCTCTTCAATAATACTTCTGCTTTTTAACTTGTTGACATGTGAAGCATGAAAGGAATAAAACTTTGCATGCTAAAATTTAGACCCTTTAATTTTTTTTTATTTTTATTAAATATTAAAAGCCTCCTGTAGGGAAATATATCATGGCTATTTAATCGTTTTTGTGATAAAGGAAAAAACAAGACTTTTTATCTTATTTTTTATCTTTTCTTCCTCTTTTAGTTTGTAGGCTAATCTCACTATGTTTTAAGGAACACAAACTGACATGCTTTTCCCAGTTAGAATCACTGCTATAACTATGTTTATCTTCTGGCAGTTTATTTTCTTAAACTATAAATTGTGTATGCCAGTGTGATACTTTGAGTACTAACAAATATGGATGCAGCTACTGTCTGAACCCACTTTGTGCTCACCAAATTTTCTAAGATTTAAGGCTTTGAAATATCAAATGGTAAGAAGTTTGTACACATGTTTGAGCTTCGTGGTCATCTTTCTACATAATGTTTATGAATTCTATAATCAAGTTACAGAAATAGTCAAATTTTCAACATCGTTCCAATCAATTGCAAAATATTTTTGATATGTCATTCAAGATCTTTTCATATCATCTTTTGTTTCTAAACAAAGACAAATTTTATCTGTACACTTCACTTAACAATTCCAATTACTACAGCTGTGAATAACTCCAATGCCTTTGAGAAATATAATCAACTGTCATGATGGGCTTCACTGACTTAACCCACATGCAGAACACACCACGGAGACTGGGATAAAAAGTTCAACAGTTTATTGAAGAAGCACAAATCATGCAATCACAGAGTCAGGTACAAGCCCGGGACAGACTTCACGAGGGTCCTCTGTAGAGAAGGGAGAGTTTGGTTAGCCAGGGGTCTGGAGTAGCTTGACTGAGTTTGAAGTTGATCTATACCTGAAGGTATAGATCTTCAGGATCTATACCATCGTAGGACACGATGAGAGGGGGAACCAGTTGGGTCCAGAGCTTGAGGGTTCAGCAGAGAGTTTACAGCGGCAGGCTTGGCTCAGGTTCTGCTAACCATAACTTGGCAACACTCTGGCACTGAAGACAGGTCTGGCTGCTGCTTATGTAGCTGGTCTCCTGATCAGCTGATGATCCTCAGGTGTGCCTGAAGCTCCTGCTCAGGAGACCCAGGGCGCTCTCTGCTGGAGACAGGTGGCAGAAACTCCAGATCCCAACATCAATCTATCCAAAAAACGTGCTTCCTTTTTTTAACATTGATTTCAAATTCATGTATACTTTTGTATTTACAGATAGCGAAGTAGCGGACGTTCTAAACCAGACTCCCCTTGTTCACACAGTTTCTACAAGAAAACAAGTTGTTCTAAACTGCATCATTCAGAGATGATTGACACATTGTCAGCTGGTACAAACATGTGCCTAGTTGGACTCTGCATTGTATAGCTTTCATCCATGACTTAGCCTTAGAGCAGGTTTCTCCTACAACATATTTGAGTAGCTAGGGAGAGGAGAATTTGCATGAGTTTTACTATAAAACATGGGATGATACTAATGAGATGTAAGTATCGCAGTGATTTAAACAGTGGCCTGAACCTTCTGGCTTAACTTTTGCTTTCTTAGACACATTCTTCAAAACAGTCTTTGTGAGACTATTCTGGAAGGAGAAGAGGAAGGAGCAAAATCACTTAACTTTTACACTATGTAAAGCAGGCATGTCTAAAGTCAGTCCTCGAAGGTCCTCGTCCTGCAGGTTTGAGAGGTTTCCCTACTTCAGTACAACCGATTTTCTATCAACCTCCATGGATTAACAGGCTTTTGCTAATCTGTAATCATCAAAATCAGCTGCATTGAAGCTGGAATCATTGAAAAATTGTAGGACAGTGGCCCTCGAGGAACGATTTTGGTCATGCCTAACGGAAAAAACATAAACTGAGATTCAGCTGATATTTTCCATTGGAGAGTGAACTCAAATAGTAGAAGCATGAGATACGATAAGATGAACACACGTAGTCGTCTATCTCATCTTTTACTAATGGGTTTACAGTACTCCTTACAAACGTAGAATGGGAATAGAATTCACTGTGAGTAGCTGGAAACCCAACAGAGTGGCTCATAGTCATCCTTGTTTTTTGCTGTCATGTTAACAGCAATACTGGCTTCCTAATTGTAGTCCTGAAAGCTACTGTCCCATACCATTACATGCATCTCTTCTCAAACACACCTGAATTCACTCATTATCATTCAGTCCTTCAGCTCTATAGATGTCTGGTAAAGAGCATTCTTTAGAAGACAGAATGTACTGTATCTAAAAGCTGTATATAGTAGAGCCATGATATTCCCATCGTATCCCCTGCATTATTTTTATCCTAATTTTTTAATCCCCAACCCTAAAAATGGTTAATGCTGCCAACCTTTTTAAATCGATATTTGAACCGAATATGCAGTTCAATAAATTGCATATAGATGTGAAAAAGACATCAATTACTTTTTGTTTTGTTTCTTTTTATTTTTCATATAACTTTCCTTCATAATAATGCTCCAGGAACAACATGACCACTGAGGCATTTGAGATGTTTTCAGTGAAAGTTGGTGTCAGCAAGAGGTTTCAGTTCCACTCCCTGATCAGAGACGATCAGAATGTTTTAGTACAATCATGTCTACAAAATTAAGAAGCTGGGGGGTTATAATTATTGACTTAAGTTTTTAAATAATGTCAGTGCATACTGTTGTTTTTGTGAACTACAAGAAACTTTACAAATGTACATGCTTCACACTCAAAATTACTCTTAATATTAGATTTTCAGTTATGCCTTAAGATTTATCAAATACTAAATATATATAATGAAATATATCCCTGTTTTACCTAAAGTAATAAATCTGTGATTGCATCCTTTCATTAATTTGGTCTTTATAAATAATAGGAATTGATAAATCATGATAAAGTTATGGCTTCATATGCCGAAAACCATAACTTCATATGCCAACAACCACGACCTAAAGAAGACAGGAATCAGAAGGTTGTTTTTCTTTTAATAACATAAATCACTGCAGTAATATTATACAATATGAATACAATAAAAGGCTATAGAATCTCCTTTTACCAACATAGTTAATTCTTAAATAATAATCAGTTTGACTGATGATGGACATTAAATTGGAGAGAAAATTGTTAAACTTTGATTGTAGAGGCCCTTATAACATTTAGAACAAACTGAGAGAATTCTCCTTGAAGCTGTTTTTAAAAAAGCATAGTCCTTCAACAGTCTATGGTGGCTGCCTCTCCAACTGTCACAATAGGAGGCCCCTGTGTCTCCACAGTGACATCGCTCACACCTCTAAACAGATAACATAAAGTCAAGAGAGACACAGAAATATGAATAAAAAATTAGCCACATTTTGATCTTGATTTTTTTTTTTTTTTTCGGTTGTGAGACAGGACTCCAAGATCCTTGAAGTCCTGTACTTGAGGCAGAACTCTCCTCTGAAGAGGAGAAGCCACCATTTTCCAAATGGGGAACTCACCCTCATGAAATGTAGAGTAACATATTTCAATGTGCTAATAAATAACTTAACAAACCAACTAAATAATAAAATTGAAAGCTAATTTTTTAAAATAAGTTCCTTTAAACAATAATTCAGTTAAAAACTGTATATTTACTTATTTAATTGAGTTCATGCAGCAGACTCACAATAACTAAGTTTAAAAAACAAGGGGTATGAGCCTACAATGGTTGTGGTCCTAATTTCCCTTGAACTGACTCTGGGTATTGTTTGAGAAAACTGGACTTACCAGTTTAACCAGTTTATAATAGTGAAATAATAAAAAAAAAAAAAAAATGCGAGACACTATCTATATCCCTAAAAGGCCGCTCCTCCTGCCACCTCCTCTCTCTCAGTCTTGTAATAAATATCTCCTCCACCTCCTCTCCTCATCCTCGAAACTTTCTCATCCATCAGCAGAAAGGTCACTTCAGAAGGACCAAGATCATTCTCAGCACAAACTGACAACATGCTGGGGACCCTCTGCTCTCTCATCACAGCTCTAACATGTAAACAGGATGACTTATTGCAGACTGGAGCTCCTGCTGGATTCATCAGTCTGTGTTTCTCTTAACTTTATGTAATTTTGCTGTTTCCAGGTGTGAGTGGAGTGACTGTGGTGACACAGAAGCCTTCGGTTCTGACGGTGACGAAAGGAGAGACAGCCACCATGGACTGTAACCTGGGGACTGTTACTGACAGTAGTGCCCGTTGGTACAGACAGATCCCAGGAGGAGTTCCTCTCTATATGCTGAGGTTTCATCATAGCTGGAGTTCACCCAAATATGACACTGGGTTCCCTCCTGCAAGACACACTTCCACTCATCAGTCAACAACAGATTATCGTTTGACTATCAGCAATGTTGAAAAAGGAGACTCTGCAGTTTATTACTGTAGCACATGGGACAACTCTTCTAAAGAGGAGGTATCACAGTGATTCACACCATGACAAAAACCTTGTCAATACTTCTGCTTTTTAACTTGTTGGCATGTGATGCATAAAGCATAAAAACATTGCAAGGCAGAATTTTAGATCATTTAAATCTTCATTTAATGTAAATACAAATTCCCTTTGGTGAAATATTATGGTTATTTAGGCTTATTTATTAAACACAGAACAATGACAGTGAGAACATTCTAATAAAATTGAATGAAAAAAAAACACGAAGCTCAAGACCCCCTATTAAAAAAAACAACACCAGATTATAAAAAATTCCATCTCAGTTTAACAACTAAACTAAGGAAAGTACACAATCTGGACCTAATAACGTATTTTCTGAATTGTTTTATATTTGCAAAACTAGCAAGTCTGATTAACAGCTTGATTAATGATTTACTTCAGTCTCAATGTAAAATCAAGGATCATATGTTCACCCTTCTACAATCAAAGTATCAACAGAACTTTCTTTTCTCATCTTTAATGATCGTAAAGCTAGACAAAATGAG